ATTTTGGCGAGTTATCTAAAAATTAAAAATTAAATAGTTAGATGGGTTTCAATAAAAAGTAGCTTGCTGGTGGAGGGTATTTAAGATTCGGCATAGCCGAATATAGCAATCTAACTTGTTTTACAATAAAATTCTTTTTAGTTGCAGTCCAACATACCAAAGATCCATATGTAAGAACAGGACGTACTTTAGCTGTGTACATCCATTTAACTATGTATGTTAGGACTAAGTCCAAATTTCCTCCCGATCGTCTTACGACAAGTGTAGTAGGTGACCGTACTGAGTTAAGTGTCCATGGCAGTTTTGAGTCTATAATAATTCCTAGATATGTATTTGGCATTGTTTGAAATGCTTATTTCTCAGTTCTTTAGCCGCGCCTAGTTGAGGCTTAGAATCTAGGGCCATTTACATTTTACATTACTAGTTGTAGTATTCAGTACTGAGTCAACAACTTCATAACAGCATTACAAAACATATAACATTTTCGTTATATACCCATTTGAGTTAGGTGTTGCTTATAAAAAGTTTATATTTTAACTATAGGTTATAAAAAATTCGTCTTAACTAAATATAAAACTCAGTTTAAACCTGAGTTTTTTTTTTGTTGTTCCCATAAAATTGTTGTACTAAAAGTAACACAGTCTATCTTTAGTTTATTTTTATATATTTTTTCTAGAGTGTATGTATTTTAGCCATAATTGTGAAGATCATTTTTAGCTTAAGAATTATAACTTTTAAATTTAACCTCGTTTACGACATTCAGACTTGTTGTACTCGTACTTAGTGTTTTTATACCCTACACCACTTTAGTGGGGAGGGTATATTGGATTTGTGCTGATGTTTGTAACATATAAAAATATTCGTCCTAGACCCACCTTAAAGTATACCAATCGGCTTAGAATCGTTTTCTGAGTCGATTAAGCTATGTCCGTCCGTCCGTCCGTCCGTCTGGCTGGCTGGCTGGCTGGCTGGCTGTCCATGTAAACCTTGTGCGCAAGCTACAGGTCGCAATTTTCAAGATAATTGTATGAAATTTGGCACGCACGTTTTGTTTGACCCAAGGACGAAGCCTATTGAAAATGGTTAAAATCGGTCCATTATTTCACCTAGCACCCATAGAACAGAACCGCCCGAAAAGGGCTTCTGAGCTCATAATTATGTTAAATATACAGATATAGCGATAAAATACGGCACAACTAAGTTTTATAGAAGTCTTGATAACCCTGCCAAATTTCATAAAGATCGGGCCACATTTGACCCTAGCTCCCATACAAAGTCCCCTTCAGAAAATTACTTGAATGTCCCAAATTAACTTATAAACACAAATATCGCGATGAAATTCAGCACAATAAAATATTATGTAAATATAAATATATTCACAAAATTTTATCGGGCTTGGTCCATATTTGCCCCTAGCCCCCATATAAAGCCTCTTTCAGAAAATTAGTTTTTCATCCATAAATTGCTTAAATGTATCGGAACAAGGGAATATTGAAGATAAATGAGATATTATGAAAAATAAATCACATTTAATATTCATAACTGGTGTAGGGTATCATATGGTCGGCCACGCCCGACTATACTTTCTTACTTGTTTTATTTATTTATTTTTTTATTGTTTTTGTGGATTTCAATGATCATGTTCACCAGTTTGTACAACATTGTTTATTGATTTTAGCTACCGAATTTCTTGTATTGTCCAAAAGAAACGACTAAAATTGTTTCAGTCGTTTTAATGTGGAACTTTAGTTTTAGTGCTTTTTTCATAGATATGTTATTGTTGTTCATGCGTTAAATGTTGTTTGTTGAAAAATAACAAAATTTAATGATAATAATTTTGTAAGGAGTCTGCACCAGAGACCTGAGTCGGTCAAAATTAACTTCAACGGCTTACAATCAGCAGTCAGTCGGCAGAAAATTAGAATTTGACTATCCTCTTCGCATTCTTCGTCTGTAATTTTTGAAAAATTGTGCTGTAATCCTGTTTGTCCACTCAAAATATGCACCACTATACTAACCTCAGACTAACTCATTTTGAAGGGTTTTCTCGTTCTCTTTTCATTGCGGTTACTCCATAGGTATATTCCTATACAAGGTGGCTTTAATGACGTTTTGAGCAATCTACAATCAGATATGTAAAAGACATGTTCGAACATAGGATCATCCGCTCCAACATGGAAACGGCAGAAGTCCAAGAATGGCAAATAGAGGAACACTTCAAGGTGGTGTATTCTCTCCACTTTTGTGGAACGTTGCCATAATTAGTCTACTCCAAAGACTGGGCATCCTGAAATATAAAACGTTGCGGTAGCAGTAAAAGGGTTTCATCTGAATACGATATCTCAAAGACTTGAAGAATAACTCAAGATATTAAGTCGATGGAGTATCGATAGTGGGCGGTGTGCGGGGTACTTTATACTAGTAAATACAAGATTTATAGGTTCACACTACCTCGACTAAATGGGGACGAACTCTCTCTCTCTTTTTGTCAGATAGTGCAAAATACTTAGGTACTATTCCTGATAGGAAACACATTATGGTGGCAGTGAACAAGACCGTAAAGGTCTAAGACAATACTATAGAATAGTCTATTGACTAGACTATAGACTTAACCGTAGACTAGACTAAGGACTAAACTATGCACTAGACTATAGACTACATTAGACTATAGAATGACTACACACCAGGCTGTAGACTGGACTATAGACTAGACTATAGACTAGATTGTAAACTAGACTATAGACTAGACTGTAAACTAGACTATAGACTACATTAGACTATAGAATGACTACACACCAGGCTGTAGACTGGACTATAGACTAGACTATAGACTAGATTGTAAACTAGACTATAGACTAGACTGTAAACTAGACTATAGACTAGATTGTGGACTAGACTATAGACTAGACTATAGACTAGACTATAGACTAGACTATAGACTAGACTATAGACTAGACTATAGACTAAACTATAGACTAGACTATAGACTAGACTATAGACTAGACTATAGACTAGACTATAGACTAGACTATAGACTAGACTATAGACTAGACTATAGACTAGACTATAGACTAGACTATAGACTAGACTATAGACTAGACTATAGACTAGACTATAGACTAGACTATAGACTATAGACTAGACTAGAGACTAGACTAGAGACTAGACTATAGACTAGACTATAGACTAGACTATAGAATAGAATATAGACTAGACTATAGACTACACTACAGACTCGATTCTGGACTTATACTAAACTATAGATTAGACTATAGGCTAGACTATAAAATAGATTTTAAAATAGACTATAGACTAGACTACAGACTAGACCATAGACTAGATTATAGACTAAAACATATTCTAAACTGCAGATTAGACTGTAGGCTAGACTATAAAATAGATTTTATAATATACTATAGAATAGACTAGATTATAGACTATATATAGTATAGCCTAGACAGTTTATAAGGGACTACCGTGGTTTGTTTCGATATCAATAAGTACTGAAAAAAGTACTATAGTACTTAATTTTCCATGCCTGTTTTATTCTATACTTACTCTTCAATTTTAATTCATTCTCTATCATAACTATTCCTATATGATTTTAATGGTTTCGCCCACTGAGGCCGTATGGAATTCAGTGGGACATGTTCAGCCATCGTTGCGTCAAACGGTTAACTTCAGTGAGTTCTCCTCCATTTACTCACTATTATTCTCGAGTGTATTGGTACCTTATATTACACAAAGCTAAGCTCTTTAAAGGTATTCAATTAAATTCTGCTTATAGTCCAGTACGACCTTCTGGATATCGAACTTTTGTTGGTAACAAATATATTCTAATCCAGTTTACACATATCATTATTGCACGGACTTCAGCTTGGAAGCTAGTGTTGTGGTTGTATACTCCCAGCAATTAGGTCGGACCCGAACTACCTATTTAACCTACTATTAAGAGTTATCCCTAGCCACCGACATCCCAGGTGATTATCTTCACCCTCGTTTACAAAGAGTACAACCGTGACGAAAGACGAATTAGAGCGAACCGGGTGGTTAGACGTTAGTGGAAATCACTGTCTTATTCGGATTTATTGACTCTTTGTTGAACTGCTGGGCTTCTATTCAGCATAAGCATACGCTGACTTAAAATTAATATATTCCGGCTGCATTTAATGTTGACAAACGGCGTCTACATTAAGCCGGCTATAATGCTGGTCTCTGATTTTTACTCGTATGTTGATTAATACTTTATTATGCGTTCCTAAATTTAAACTAAAATTTAATGAAATACAAACCATTTGATCTCCAGTAGTGGTTTTAAAAAAAGAACAACATTTTCATAAATTTAATAAATTTTATGTAAATAAACTTTATTTCTATATTATTAGTATTTTAACTTATAAAATTAATTATGTATTTATTTTGTATAATTTTACTACTACAAAATATTTTGTTTTTTTGTTTAAAAAGTAAAACATTTAAATAATTTGTATGTTTTTGTTTTTCATAAAATTATTTTTATTTTTTTTTAAAAATATACATACATTAATTTATGCTATTAAATAATAATTCACATAAATTCAAATAAATACATAAGTATATCTCAAAATAAGATCTTTTTTGAAAAAATAAAACAAAATATATAATGCTACTTATTTCTACACTGAGAAAAAAAGTCAAATGTAAAGCATAATAAATATTTGTATAACAATCGTTACGTACCGATTATGAGTAGAGTGTATAGCCCCGCCCATCAATTTGGTATTGGTAACAGTCAAAGGTCTCTTTCGTTAGGCATTAGTGGTTGCATATTTAGGTATATAATAGTAGATTCTTTAAACGTAATTCGTTTCTTTAACTTTATTGCAAAGATGGCGTGTCATAATGTCCGTGGACATTATAATACACTAGAAATGTGTCATAATGTCGGTGGACATTGTAACATTTTTTTGTATAAAGAAATTTATTGGAATATTTGATTAGGTTTTTAGAAAGGTGATGTGTCATATTGTCCTTAAACGTTGTGACACACCAAAAAGTGTCACAATGTCCTTGATCATAGTCAAGGACATTGTCAAATACTGACAAATAATTACTTATCAAGAAAAAGTGTAATTTCGCAAAACCTTAGTTCTTAGTACTGTGACACTTTTTGGTGTGTAATAATGTCCAAGGACAATATGACATTTCACCTTTCGGAAACTGTGTAAAAACATTTTACAATCTTGAGATACATTTTGAAAAGTCTGAAATTCTTTTGAAAATCGTTTAGTTAGTCGTCATGTTAGGATATTTTAAATTCAGCGGACAAATCTTAAACCAAGAGTTATGTTTAAATCTAAACTTTGTCAATCACAATCGCTTTAATACATTTTCGTTCCAAGTCGTGGTAGGGATTATACAAGAAAGGGTTTTATTGTAAATATACTTATATGTGTTGTTGTGTAAAATTTATTTGTATTATTTTTATAAATAAATTCTATTTTACTTATACTTCTTGCCAATTCTATATATTTTCATATGTATGTATAAAAATAAATATATTTTTATTTCATTACGCTCTTCTTCCTTTTCAATCTTTTCTAAATAAATTAATTTCAAAATCTATCTATTCTTTTCTTTTTCATTTTGAAGGCCAATCGTTTCCAATATGTCTCCCGGCTTTAGTTCAAATCAAATTGTATAAAATTTAAAGTTTGTCTGCATTTAGTGGTAGTGTGCCACTCGATATTCATGCTCCTCGTCGCTGACGTACATTCGTGTTAGATCGGATGCAACGGAGGCACTATCACTGCTGGGAGAAAAAAGAGCGAGAAACAGTAAATGTTAGTTTAAATTAGAATTATAAATTGTTAAATATAGTATTATATTTTGAATCAAAATTTGTATTTATATATTTTGCTATAATGTTTAACCCTCAGATATCAGATCGATTTTCATGGAAGGGCCTTTTATGAAGTCCTCAATCAATTATCAAAAAATCATTTCAGTCGTATTTTCATCTATACTACTATTTTAAAACGACTTCTTAACTTTAAACTAATCTCCTACATAAGGTCTTAATAGGTGGGTTAAAGTCAACTATGTTCCGATCCTCTCAAAATATTCTAATGTAATACCGTTCATATAAAACGTGATAAATATCGAGTGGGCCCAATAAGGTAGGGCTCAAGCGCAACAATCTAAAGTAACAATCTCTCTTTGATACGGTATATTTGATACTGAAAATTTGGACCTATCTAGCCTATAAAGTCCATTTTAAAAAATTACTTTAAAACTCATAGTTCTTTTAAAACTATAGAGATAATATTCGACCTAAGACAAAAGTCAAAAATCACTTAACCAAAACTCATGAGAATGGTTCCATAATTTAACTTACCCCATATTTAATACCTAAAATCTGTTTGCTATTTATTAGTCCCATAAAAACTATGGCATTAAGATAACATTGCACAAAAATGATTTGTTCTGAATAATTAATCACTCTTTCAAGTTATATTAACCATGGGCCATAATTACCTAAATTCCCCATTAAGAGCAGTATATTTATATTAATAATAAATTTTAGATGTACTATCTATAGCCGTGATATATCTAAGTAGGTCAATAAGTCTACACCCAGTTAACTCTCCAAATTTGGATAAAGTGTACTTGCCATTCATATGGCAACCGATGAAGATACATAACTAGATCGTCTTAGAAAGTTATGAGGATCCAGAAAAAGCATGGAAAATTCAGGACTTTTTGATATCGAAAAGTACCACAGTATCCCTACGTCCACATAGTAGTCAATAGGCTACAATCTCGTCTATAGTCCAGTTTATTGTCTAGTCTACAGTCTAACCTATGGTCTAGCCTATAGTATATTTTATAGGCTAGCATATTGTCTAGTCTATGGTATAGTTTATAGTCTAGTCTATTGTCTCATCTATAGTTTTAGTCTATAGTCTAGTCTTTACTCTAGTCTATAATTTAGTCTACAGTCTAGTCTATAGTTTAGTCTATAGTCCAGCCTATAGACTAGTATATAGTTTAGTCAAACTATAATGTCTATAGTCTAGTATATAGTATAGTATAATATATAATATAGTCTATAGTTAAGTCTATAGTCTAGTTTAGTATATAATTTAATCTAATTGTATATAATCTAGTTTAGTCTAGTAGGTATATACTCTGGTCTATAGTCCAGTCTAGTCTACAATCTAGTCTATTGTTTAGTTTATAGACTAGCCTAGACTCCAGTCTATAGTGTTGTCTATAGTCTATTATATAGTCTAGTATAATATATAATATAGTCTATAGTTTAGTCTAGTCTGGACTATATACTAGATCAATCATCTAGTCGATGGTCCAGTCTACAGTCTAGTTTAACGTCTAGTCTACCGTCTAGAAAATAGCCTAGTCTTTAGTCTAGTATGTAGTCCAGTCCATAGTCTAGTTTATGGTCATGTCCATAGCAAAGACTATAGTCTAGTCAATAATCGAGTCTTTAGTACAGTTTATAGTCTAGTATGTATAGTATATAATCTAATATATAGTTTTAGTCTATAGTCTAGTCTACAATCAAGTCTATAGTTTACTCTATAGTCTAGTCTACAATCTAGTATATTGTTTAGTATATAGACTAGTATATAGTCTAGTCTAAGTGTAGTCTGTAGTCTAGTATAGTATATAATATGGTCTATAGTTTAGTTATTAGCATAGTCTATCGTTTAGTCTATATTCTAGTTTATAGTCTAGTCCAAAGTCTAGTATATAGCCTAGTCTTTAGTCTAGTGTATAGTCCAGTCTATAGTCTAGTCTATGGTCAAGTCTATAGTCCAGACTATAGCCTAGTCTAGTCTGTAATCGAGTCTTAAGTATAGTCTATAGTCTAGTATAGGGTCTAGTCTTTAGTCCAGTTTATAGTCTAGCATACAATCTAGGCTATTGTCTAGTATATACTCTAGTCTGTAGTCTAGTTCATAGTATAGTCCTAGCAGAACATTAGTTTAGTACTTAAACACGTAAAAAGTACTCTTTTTGTTAAACGTTAGTACTATTTCAGAATTAAAATTGTCCATGTCTGATCCAGAATATAGCAACGACAAATATTCCAATATTTTAGAAATATATTTACAAAATTGTTACAACACCGAACTTTTTTGATGTTGAGACATACTATTGATTAAAGTTATTGCCAAAACTTGCCTTTTACCCAAAATTATTCAAAATACGTTTCCAAATACCACTCTAGATATCGTATTTTCTTAAACGATTTTTTAATTTCAACTTACTTGGCAATTTCTTGTTCATACGCTGATGCAACCATGGCACATAATTCTTGTTCCAAATTACCGCTGCCACTGCGTGTATAGAAACCAGACGAAGCTGAAGAGTCATTACGTTCCAATGATTTCATGGCAGAGTCATCATCATCGCTGTGATTGATATAGGTAATCTGTGTTGCTTGCTGTTGTTCCTGTTGTTGTTGTAACAGTTGTAATTTCTGTAACGATTGCTGATTAATAATATTGTTGTTATATAGCTGTTGGTGCTGTTGTTGCAGCTGCTGTTGATGTTGTTGCTGCTGATAATCTTTAAAACTGACAGCCAATGCTGATGGTGTCTCTGATGTTACAGCATTATTGATTGTTGGCATTGTTGCTATAGTTACTAACGATGATGGTGTTACTACTGCTGCTGCTGCAGTAGCAATATCAGCTGTTGAAGGTGCTAATAATGTTGTCGATAGTGGTATGGCCAGAGCGGTAGTGGTTATTGTTTTTGTTGCCACTGTTAGAGCTGTTGTCGTCAGGGTATTTAATGATGCTGAAATTGTTAATTTCTGTTTTGTTGTCTGCAATTTTACTCCTTCAATGTTAGTCATTTCATGTTGTAGACCAATTATTTGGTTGATTGATGGACATTGTAACAGTGTTGCGGGTGCTGTTGTTGGATGTAAGATCGCACTTGTTGCTGCTGCCATTGTGCCAAGTGTTGGTGTTGGTGTTGTGTTTGTCGTCACTTTAGGCTCAACCAAATTACTGCAAGTTGCTTTAGTGCTGGTGGTGATAGTGGCGGCTGTTGCTGCTGCTGTTGTAGCACCACTATTGACTGGTAGTGTCGAACTTTTGCCATTGGACATCCAGATGTCTGATTCATTGCTGTAAATAAATCGAAAAAAGAAGTTGTTGTTAAGTTTTGTTTATGATTTTATAACTTTGTGCAGTAGTATTTATTAATTAGTGTGAGAATAAGGTAAAAATTTCAATCATTATACAGTCCAACAAATGTTTAACCTGGACATACCACCTGATATCGCCTTAGTTTACACATTCCGTTACTACATCGACACGGGATTGTGACGGTAGTATACTTCTTTTCCTGGGTTTTCAATGTACTTTTACTATCGAATGTTGTCACCTTATACTTCACAATTTATATCAACATAGTCCTTCATTATAACCAAGGTTTTTGGCATCATTACTGTCTTCAAATATCATATAAGTCTCATCTGATTTTAAACAATTATACTTTCCATTTTTTTTTTTTTTTTTTTGTTATTTTAATTACCACTCATGACTTTGTCGTGCTTTAATCACTAATAATTCTTCATAATTATCTATATTAAATATATAAAAGAGTAGCGTTACTGACTGACTGATTCATCATCGCACAGCCCAAACGGCTGAACCTAAAATCATGAAATTTTGACAGTAGATGTGTTTTTGGTTATGTAGATTCACTAAGGAGGTATTTTTTTTGGAAATTTGTACATTTACGGGTAAAAAGGGAAAAAACGGGTAAAACAGGTTTTCTTAATTATCTTACACAATATTAGTGATACAAGAAACATTTTAAATGCAGCTCTATCTACTCTTAAAATGAGCAGATGGTTGTCTGGTACTTTTTTGAAATTCGTACTTTTAAAGGGTAAAAATGTGTAACAAATGTGATTTTGGTACCTTTTTTGGCTCTTTATAACTTTTGAACTAATTAACATAATAAAATTTTTATAAATATTTTGGATACATCTCCTAAAATTATGAGACACCTGTTTCGTACTTTTTTAAAATTCAGTCCTTTTTGGGTGTAAAAGGGAAAAAACTGTATTTATGGTACTTTTTTTTGCACGTTAAGAAAACTTTTTCGGTTTATTGAATTATTCCTATTAAATTACGGACTAACTCTGTAATATTTATTGTAATAAAAGTTTTGCTATTTCACTGGGGAAAAAGTATCAAAAAGGGAAAAAACGGAAAATTTATTTTATTCAAACTCATTGAGATAATTTTTATAAAATTTGAAAAAGTAGTTTATTTACTCACACAAAATAAGCTGTTGGTATATTATTTTGGAATTCGAGTACTAAGACCTATCTATATAGGACCAAATTCGAGTAAATTGTTTGGTACTTTTTGAAAGCACTATTTTTCTGGAACAAATGAATGCAGATTTGAGTTTTATCTGTGATATATAGAATTAAATACGGAACATTTTGTAAACTTAATTCTCGAAAAAGTATATTTCTAAGCGAAAAGGGGAAAAATTGTACTCTTTTTATTAGTACTTTCCACTTAGGTAAAATTTATTCCACTTTTGGTACTTTTTTTTCTTCAAATGATACTCTTTGTATGTTCTTTAAAATGAATTCAAAACACATGATTATTAAACATACACGATCCTCATTGAATAAGATTTTTTAAGAGAGAACTTTTTATCTCATAAATGGTACTTTTTTAATTTTCTAAAATATTCAACCTAGGAATATAAATTTTAACATACATGGTCTTGACTGAATAATATTCCGTAAGTGGGACTTTTCTATTCTTCAAATGGTACCTTTTATTGAGAGAGATTTTTGCACTTTTTCGTTTTTCCGATGGTTCTTTTTGATATTTTTACCATATTGAACATAGATTTTGAAAATAAAATTTAAAATGTAGGGACCTTAGTGAATGGGAATCTACAGAAAGGGACTTTTGGTACTTTTTCATTCATCAAATTATATTTTTTGAATTGTATATAATATTGAACACAGCAACATAAAATTTTTGATTAGATGATAATCTATTAGAGGTATTTTATAGTACTTTTTTCAAATAGTATTTTCGAAATTTCCTATAATGTGGAAGCTAAATGAATGAAACTAAAAATACAAGCTTCTTAATGAATGCGAATTTAATCACGTGATATTGAACGTATAAAACTGAAACATTAAACAAATGTTTAATCAATTTTAATTTTCTATAAAAGTAAACAAAATTTTGTATGTATTTAATTTAAGTTAGGGTAGCGGAGCAGCCAGGGTATGCTAGTTTACATAATATATAAGTATTATAACAATTAATTAAAAACTTTATGCTTTTTAAACACAATAAACACAGATTTAAATTAAATCATAAAAACAAACAATAAAGTAAATAGATATTCTTCTTCAAATAAGTTTAAAGATCACTACAAGACATCATCCCATTAAGGTGATTTTTTAAGGTCAAGTGCGAATAAAAAAAATTTTACAAACAACCATCGAAAAACGAAGACATAAATAATTTTATTAGTTAAATTTATAGATCAATTTAATTTAAAAAAAGTTTAAAAATTATGAACAAATGTTTAATGACTAACATTAAAAATACCCTACACACAGTATTACAGTTAACATAACTTTCAAATGAAGTTAAATTTTATCTCAAGTTTATCTTATAAACATAAATAAAACTAACACCTTTTAAGTAAGAAAATCTTGACATTATCAAAATTGTTAAAATCTTCATCTTTACTTTACACTTTAATTTATCTCTTAGACCCACTGCATCATACTCTATTAATTTTTTCCACAACTTGTAAACAGTTAACAACACAATTTACAACAATTTGGTTTCTTTTAACAATAGAGCCATAACGATCAGTTAAAGACAAATGACTAACAATAACATGAGATTAATTTTAATGCAATTAATTAAATGTAAGTTTTACCAAAAAATAAATAAGGAGTGGTTATTAACGAAATAATTGATGAGAAACATGTACTTATTTAGACACGAATTGTTTAATGTAAAGATCGCGAAATTTTATTGGTAAATGGTTAGGCATCTTCTAATTTGTTATACGAATTGAAGAAATAATAGCATCGCATGTCTGCTAAAAGGTTTTCCTATCAAAATTAAATTTGTATACCCTCCACCACCATCAGTGGTGATAGAGGGTATATATAAGTTTGTCATTCTGTGTGTAACACCAAGAAATAATCATCTGAGACCCAACAAAGTATATATATTCTGGGTCCTTATGAAATTCTGAGTCGATTTAGCTATGTCCGTCCGTCTGTCTGTCTGTCTGTCTGTGTAAAACACGCACACGTTAAAACGAAGCAATATAGTTTAACCAAATTAACCCAAAACATTCATTATTATCCGGTACAGTTTGGTATTGCAAATGCGCAAAATCGGTTCACATCGGGAAAAGTTATGAATCAAAATTTAAAACAACTCCGAAAAATAAGCATTTTTTACACATTCTGATGTAATTTTCTCGAAAACTATGCAAGATAATTTCATGAAAGTCATCATACATTCGTTTCTACACAAGATATTGATTCCTGCTGAAAATTGCCAGAATCGTTCCATAATTTAATATACCTCCCATACAAAAGTACATATTCCCGGAAAATGAGTTTTTTGTTAATAACTTCCGTCAGAATGTTGTATCTTCACAAAATTTTACAAATTAAAATCTTATGTCAATAGAATTTATTTAAAGAAAAAATTTTCTCGATCGGTTCATAATTGGACATAGCTCCCATACAAAGTCCCCTCCCGAAAATCACTTAAACGCTCATAACTCATTACTAAATTAAGATATCCATATAAAATTTGGTACAAGTATTGCTCATATGCACAGAAATGTTACTGTGAAAGTTTTTTTCCGATCGGTCCATAATTGGTCATAGCTCCCATACAAGGTCTCCTCCCGAAAATCACTTAAACGCACATAACTCATTACTAAATTAAGATATCCATAAAAAATTTGGTACAAGTATTACCCTCACATACAGAAATATTATTATGAAATTTTTTTCCGATCGTTCCATAATTGGTCATAGCTCCCATACAAGGATCCTTCCCGAAAATCACTTAAACGCACATAACTCATTACTAAATTAAGATATCCATATAAAATTTGGTACAAGTATTGCTCATATGCACAGAAATATTACTGTACAAGGTCCCCTCCCGAATATCACTTAAACGCACATAACTCATTACAAAATATTGATATATATACATTTAGCACAAATATTGCTCGTATATACATAAATTACACTATACAATTGTTTTGCAATCGGTCCATATTTGGTCATAGCTCTCATACTAGGTCCCCTCCAGAAAATCACTTAAATGCACAATATTCATTGCCAAATAATGATATAGGTACAGAATTTTGAAATTTTGTCTTTATATACATAATTGGTCATAGCTCCCATACAAGGTCCTTTTACGAAAATCTCTTAAACGCACATTACTCATTACCAAATAAAGCTATTGATACAAAATTAGGCACAAATATTAGTTTTGTATACAAAAATTCTATTTCAAGATTTGTTCACGATCGGTTCATAACATGGGTGCGGTCGGTCCCATGCAAGTGTCCCTTCAGAAAATCACTTGAACACACATTACTTATTACTAAATTAGGATATAGATACAAAATTTGACTGAAATATAGCTTTTATGTACAGAAATTTTGCTTAAAGAATTTTTTACGATAGGTCTATAATTGGTCATATCTCCCATACTAGGTCCTGCCCCTAAAAGCAATTTAACCGTATTTAACTAGTTGCATTATCAATTTGTGTAGAATAAAGTTATATATATGTATTTTGAAAATCCTTAAATCTTTCACACACATGCATACATGCAGATTATTAAATATCGTTAAAGCATATCTTAGGGCGCTATAAAAATATATAAATAATGGGGTTTGCAATGTTCAATAAATCTGGGAATTGTAACAGATTAAAGCTGTTTAAATCTTGGGGTTTTTCTATTTAAGACATGAGAAAACTTATTTTTACAAATATTTGATCAATTAGAAAAGTATTAAAATAAAAGTAGCTGGTGGAGGGTATTTAAGATTCGGCTCAGCCGAATATAGCACTCTA